ACTTTTGTCCGCCACCGCTATGCTTATAGTGGACAGTGTGCAGTCAATACTCACACTGAAATGTTGGCTATTGTGTCAATCACGCGCCCTGACTGAGGCCAGATAAAATAAAACACTGACAGGCGGAAACAACTACCGCCGACCAGAATGGCTAAAATGCAATGTCATAAGGGCGATGGGCGTCCTCAACGGCCCTTTCGACTAAGAAATTTAGGTCACTAGACAACTAGAAGTCAAAAAGTGTGATGCATTTCCACAGGATCGCCAAAAATAGGATGAAAACCGAAGTGGAGGTCTTCGAAATACTGATGCATAAGGGCCCCCCAGATCGAAAGTCACAAAAGGTGCGAACAAACTATCTGTTAAGCTGCGTCGCAGATCAGCCTTCATCAATCTTCATGTAAATGTTTACCGTCCATGGATAAACCTGAGTTGCTGACAGCGCACAGTGATACCCTTACCATACCATTTTCAAACATTTTTTTAAATATAAAACTACTTGCGTCTTATCCGTTTTACGTCTACGCAGGACTCTTCTACAGGCTTCTGCATAGAAATTCCGTCAGTCTCATTAGAATTTATCCGAGGATAAATTTCGCGACTAATATCAGATAAATACATTTACTTTGCAAAGTCAAAATGCTCCTGTTGTAGACCTGCGATACCAGCTATGGTGTCGTTTATTGACCGAGGTCCAAAAGAAACCTGCATTTTATTGTGCCTCGAAGTTAACGACCTCTTATTCTAATGCGAATGTGAAACAATGAGCGCGGCGATGGAATATGAGATATAAACGTCATTTTTCTACCACTTGCTTAGCTTAAAGAACCTAGCACAATTGAGAGAAGGGGAGGTCAGGTCTTACATTGAATCCCCATAGGTATTACTGAATATGCCGGTGACTTGATAAAGGCCGATATAAATCACTCACAACAGATGACGAATGTTCCTACCTGATCGTGGTAACGGCCATCAGTCCATAGAGCAGCCTTATCCGTTGTTATTACCGCTGTACCTGCAGATCCGGTAAACCCAGAAATGAAAGCAATGCGTTTATCCGCAGCTGCCAGATACTCGTTAAAATGGCTATCTTCCATTGGCAGAAAGTAGGCGTCTAAGTTGCGTTTCCGGAGTTCCTCCCGGAGACGAGCCAATCGAGAGGAAGAGTCTAGTTTCCGCATTTCGGAAAAGGTCCGCGAAAGAGGAAATGACAGGCGAAACGCGTGCCTGGGAAGAATGAGGCGCCCTAACTAGGACAAAATAAAGCATAACAACGGTTAAAAAATCGCATATGCAAGGGCTCAAAGGACCCATAAAATCTGCTGCCATTTTTTAACAAATCTATAGATACTACTCGTTCAAATACGGGGGCCACATGTTGGAACATAAAGCAGCTAACCATGCACTGTGTAACAGTCCTCGGTAATGAGTCATAATTCCGTTACTCGGCATTTTCTGATGTAGAAGGAGAACCCAGGCCCCGCAAATAATGTGATCAGTGGTCAAAATGTCACGAAGTTACGACGGCCACCTTTGTGATTACTCGTGAACTAAATCATTCAATGCACGAAAAACACTAGGTAACGGAAAAGGGATAGCAGACGGGAGAGTTGATAAATTTAGTTGACCCAATTTTGAAAAAAAACTCGCGGCATTCGGCGGGATTCGAACCCGTATAGGAGGGAAGGCCTTCTACGCAAGCCAACGCTCTACCTACTTGAGCTAG